TGGTGCTGGAGAAGAGTATTGAGAATACCATGGACTGCTAGGAAAACAAACAGATTTGTCCTGGAAAGGGTTAAACCGGGTAGGTCCTTGGAGGCAAGGATTCTGAGGATTCTAACATACTTTGGACATGTTGTGAGGAGAGACTTGTCCTTAAAAAGGGACATCATGCTTGGGAGGGTGGAGGGACGGCGCAAGAGAGGAAGGTCCTCTATGAGGTGGATTGATTCAGTGACTGGGATAATTGGGATGGGAGTGTCGGAGACAGTGCGGTTGGCACAGGACAGAGCGGAGTTTAGGGCTGTTGTACATAGGGTCGCTATGAGTCGCAGGCGACTCGACGGCACATAATTACAACAAACAACAATTTCACTGATTCTGGGTTCCATCTCTTCAAGTCTGTTTGTGTGTTCCTCCATCCTGTTGATAGCATCAGAACCCTTGTACCTCATATTTTGGATCATGGATTTCTGTTTTTCCAGTTCTTGTAATGCCTCTTTTGTTTTATGTGCATTGTTTTGAATTGTTTTTTTGAGGCCTTCCTGATTTTTGCCTGCAGTGTCCTGTAATTCATCAAATTTTTGTTTTTCATCCATTGAAAATATTCACTCGTTGTTCTTTTAAATTCTGTGTCAGAAAGTTTCATCGGACTTTCTGGCTTCAGGAAATCTATTGCTACTATGCTATTTTTTGAGGGTGATATCTTGCTTTGGGTTTCCATGGCAAATATGGCACCCTGCTTCTTTCGGGACATTGATGTGGTAGAGTTTTTCATGTCTGAGGTGATAGGTGGTTTTTTATTAGACTTCACTGCTCCAGGAGAAGGTTGGGAAGGAACAAGAACAGATGCATGTAGGGTGCATACACACTCAGATGCTCATGTGAGTGGGGAGGGGAAAGCACACACTGATACATGCCAGGAGAGGTACTGGGGAACCTGAATAATAAAAAAGGAAGCCTATTGTTCCCTTCTGGAAATGGCTTCTCACATCTGTGGAGGTGCCCAGGATCTATCTCCCTGTTGTTTGAGTTAGGGGGACACACATGGTCAGGCCAGAAAGCAGTTTGTTCCCCAGAGTAACTTAATCCTCAATGGTGTTGACCCACAGACTGCTGGGACTTGTAGTTTTCATACCTGTGTGGTGTAGGTAGAAAGGAATGGGGGGGTGTAGAATCCTGACCCTGCCCTCCTGTGTTCTCGTAGGCCTCTCATCAAAATCCAAAATTTAAAGATCGCATGATGTCATTTTCCAATAATGGGTCTCTCCTGGCAGCGTGACAAAAGTATGTTAGATGGAACAGCAAACTCCTTGCTTCTAAAAACTCTCTTTAAAATGTGCAGAAATTATATTATCTTATAGAACAGAGTTCAGGTCTTTTGAGCAAAGTTCACTCTGAGTCATAGTCAACTCAACAACACCTAATCACTGCTAAATGAAGACTAGTGCTGATATATTTGGAGGAACATTCTTCCACTTTGTATGTCACTTTTTGTCAATGTGCTATATGAAGTAACCTGGGTCTGCCGTGATGCTGAACCTTGTGCCATGGGTATATCAAATACCATAATGGTTTCCCATTGTGGACTGTGTTTGGTGGAGCTCACAGTTGTAAAACAGGTTTGGAAGCTGGAGTGGCATCTATTTTCTAAACTACATGCCTCTGGAAAGTCTATGAACTTTAACTAACAACCATAGCTATGGTAAGGTATTAGGTCTTTGTTTATAGAGTCACAATGAGTTGACCTCGACTCAACAGCAATCAACAACAACAGTAACAACAATGAGCAACTTGGTTTTACCCTCTCCATGACAGGCCTGTTTGTTTTCTTGGCAGTTCCTGGTATATTCAAAAGACTATCCTGGTGCTGCCAACTGAGCCAGTGGTGAGAATCTTTCTTTTATTTTTAAAATAAAATTGTATCTTTGTTTTCTTTATGTTAAACCTCAATCTTTATAGTCAACAACGTAATGGTTAAGCTGCTCCTACCTTCACAATTACATATTTGCTATTTAGACCCCATGTGACAAATTCTATGATTGAAATACTCTGATGAGCAACATCCAAATGGTTATCAATTTTCTCAAATTCAATAGTAAGTACATCTAAAAACTATTGCATTATAGTCTACCCAATGGAACCTTTCTATTGAGTAACTTCTGCCATCATCTACAGCAAAGGGTACTCACAGCTCGAGAAAATTAGTGGACAAGAGTGTTCATCCATGGGGAAGTTGTGCAGCTGCAGCTGGCATTCTGCATTGATGGTGAGCCTGTAAAAGATCCAAGTGTTACTCTTTATTTTTTTAACTTTTCTATATGTTTATTGGTTAGCATACAAAAATTCATATAGATTTTGTTTCATACACATTTTGTTTTATACAATCTTTCATTCATATTGTGTTTCATGCAATCATTCATATACATTGTATTTTATACAATGAATTACCAGTGATTACTTAGACTTTTCAGGTCCCAATTGGATTTTTTCTGTTCCTTCACACTCTCCCCCTATCTGCCCATTGAACTCTGCTAACCTAATGATTTCTTCCTTTTCCAGTTTTCCATCCTATTTTCCTACCTCCCTGTTCCCTTTTGGATTTCTATACACATCTTACTAGTTATTCTTCTATTTAGACAGTAATGATTTTACACAGGGTAACTTTTTTATTAATTAGGATTTTAGTGAAAGTTTGCAAAGCATGTAGGTTAATGCAATCCCAATACAAATACCAATCCCAATCTTCAACAAGATGGAAAAGGCAATCTCCAGTTTCATTTGGAATGGAAAGAAGCCCCAAATAAGTGAAGCACTCTTTAAGAATGGAAAAAAGGTAGGCGGCATCTCACTCCCCGATATCAAATCCTACTACACTGCCATGGTGATTAAGACAGCATGATACTGGTACAATGACAGACACATAGATCAATGGAATAGAATTGAGAGCCTGGAAATCAGCCCATCTACCTATGGCCAACTGATTTTTGACAAGGACATGAAATCAGTTAAGTGGGAAAACGACAGCCTTTTTTACAAATGGTACTTGCAAAATTGGAAAACTATCTGCAGAAGACTCAAGCAAGATCCACACCTCACTCCATATACAAAAACCAACGCAAGGTGGATCATGGACCTAGGATAAAACCAAGGACTATAAACTTCACTAAAGAAAAGCTTGGGAGAACTCTAGTAGTCCTAATCCACAACATAAACAGTCTTCCAAATATCCTGAAAAATCTACAACCAGGAAAGGATAAAATAAATGAATGGAATCTTCTAAGAATCAAATCCCTATGCACATCCAAAAACTTCTCCAACAGGGTAAAAAGTGAAGCCACAGACTGGGAAAAAGTATTTGGTAATGCTATGTCAGAAAAGGGACTTATATCTGGAATTCATAAAATACTCGAGCACCACAATCCAATTGAGAGATGGGTACAGGATATAAATTGACAGTTTTATAATTCCACGTTTTCTTTCCATGTAGTAACAGTTTTCTAGATAAAAATAAAGGATACTTTCCTCCATTTTTCTCTTTTTGGATTCTGTTGCAGTCATGTAATGGTTTTAAAATATCCTTTACATGTGTTCTTACAAAAATTTTATTTTATCTAATGAACAAACTCTCCCAGGTTTGCTCCACCAGGGCTGCTATAACCTGGTTACGAGAGAGAGCATGGTGCTGTGTGCGCGGGTGTTGTGGCAGCTTTTGGACTTAAAGGACTACTCTGCCTCCAGGAGCCAGGTAAGCCAGGCTTGGTCTAGGGTTTAAGGCAGCAGGGGGCTTCAATCCCAAACGGGGAAGAGGGGAGAGGAGGCGGCCATGTTCTCCCAGGGTCGCTATGAGTCGCCTGTGACTCTATGGCACTTAACAACAATAACATCGACACAGGGAGAGATCAGCTGGCCGAGTGGACAGAAAGCGATGCTACCAAGTCATAGGTGGGTGACTTTTAATCCGCAGCCCTTCAGCCTGTCTTTCATTGTTTTTGTTTAGACATTACTCTAGGTCATATAGCCCTGGTATACAGGTTGCCATACCACGGTCACTTGAGCTTGCTGTGAGGCTGAACGCTGTGGCACTGATATGTCAAATACTGTAATGGTTGGCTACCCAATGTGGACAGAAATTAAAACAAGCTTGGAAGGAGGAGTGACATCCACGTCCAGAATAGCTTGCCTCTGGAAACCCTATGAACCTGGAGAGAGGATGAAAGGCACTCAAGTGTCGAGGAATCTCCTTCATATGGTCACTATTAGTTGTCTGCGACTCAATGGCACTTAACAACAACAACAATGTACAAACAAATCTAAACTATAAAGCACAACACAAAAGTTCAGACATGAATTTTCCAAATTGTGAAGGAAAGAACTGAAATAAAAGCATTACATGATTCCCAGATGGAACCTGGAAATTGGGGACATGGCTAACATTGAGGAAAACGGGAAGTCCAGAACACTTTATTATGCTTATGTGAAACCTATACTTGGACCAGGAAGTAGTTCTCAGAATAGGGCAAGGAAACACTGCGTGATTCAAAATCAGGAAAGGAGTGTGTTAGGGATGCATCCTCTCCCTGTACCTTTTGAATCTATATGCAGAACAGATCATTTAGGAAGCTGGGCTTTATGAAGAGGAATGTGACATCAAGATTGGAGGCAGACTCATCAACAACCTATGTTATGCTGCTGACACAACATTGCTTGCTGAAATTGGAGAAGATCTGAAGCACTTGCTGCAGAAGGTCAAGGACTGTAGTCTTCAATACAAATTGAAGCTCTACATCAAGAAGACAATGATTCTCACTGCTGGGCCAACTGGCAGCACAATAATAGACAGAGAAGAGATTGAGGTTATTAACAATTACAACTTGGTAAACTCCACAATCAACACTCTCAACACCAGCAGTTAGGAAACCAAAAGACGAATTGCCTTGGGAAAATCTAATTGCATTAGGTCAGGGACCTCTCAAGATAGCTGAAAAACAAGAATATCAGTTTAGAGACTAAGGTGTGCCTAATCCAGGCCATGGTCTGCAATTACTTGCTATGCATGAGAGATCTGGTCAATGACTAAGTTTGACAGAAGAAGAATTGATGCCTTTGAATTGTGGTACTGGAGAAGAGTCTAGAAAATACCATGGACTGCCAAGAAAACAAATAGGTCTGTCTTGGAGAGGGTGAAACCAAATATATTCTTGGAGGCTAGGATTTTGAAGCTCTGTATCACATACTTTGGGCATATGGCCAGGAGAAACTGGTCCTTGGAGAATGACATCACGCTTGGAAGGGTTGTAGTACAGTGCAGGATAGGAAGACCCTGGATGAGATAGATTGATTCAGTATCTGGGACAATGGTTGGTGTGTCAAAATTAGTGATACTGGCTCAGGACAGGGAAGGGTTCAGAGCTCCTGTGCATAGGGTCACTATAAGTAGCAGGGACTCAACTGCACATAACAACAACAACAACAACGTATTATAGCATATACTTTGTCAACGTTGTATTATTGCAGTGAAATATTTGACCCTATTCTTCATTCATATTGTGTTTCACACAATCATTCCCATGTATTATGTTTCGTAAATTAATTACCATTGATCTATGCCCACCATTATTCTTTTTACTGAGGTCTCTCTCTGCCAGATCCTTCCCACTTCATTTACCCTCTCCTTTTACCCATCAAATTGTGCAACTCTGTGGTTTCATCCATGCCCATCTTCACTCCTCTGCTCCCATGCCTTTCCCTCTTGGGTCCCCACACATGTTTTACCAGTTGTCTTACTATTTTTTATATCAATGGTCTTATGCAGTACTTGCCCTTATAAGCCTGAGGTAGTTTGCTCAGTATAATGCTTTCCAGTCTCAAATTATGTAGGTGGTTTTTTTGTTTTGTTTTGTTTTGTTTAAATCATTGCTTGAATGTCGGTTATGGTCTCTTTAGGGTATATTCCTAGTATTGGAATTGCTGTGGAAAATGGTATCTCTATTTGCAACTTTTTGAGAAAGCGCTACACAGCTTTCCACAGCGGTTGCACCATTTTACACTTCCACCAATAGTGAATAAGGGTTCCAGTTTCTCTACAACCTCATCAGCATTTGTTGCTTGATGTTCTGTTAAATTTTGCTATTCTTACTGGGATGAGATGATATTTCATAGTTGTTTTGATTTGCATCTCGCTTAGAGCTAGGGATTTTGAATTTTTCCTCATGTGCTTGTTGGCCATCTGTCTTCTTTGGTGACGTGTCTGTTCATATCCTGTGCCCATTTTTCAATTCGATTATTTACCTTTATCTTGTGGTCCTCAAGTGTTTTCTAAATTATAGATATAAGTCACTTATCTGATATGTCATTACCAAATTCTTTTTCGCAATCTGTGACTTCTCTTTTTACCCAGTTGGAGAAGTTTTTGGATGTGCATAGGGATTTGATTCGTAGAAGGTTCCATTCATCTATTTTATCTTCTCCTGTCTGTAAATTTTTCAGGATATTTGGAAGACTGTTTATGTTGTGGATTAGGACTACTAGAGTTCTTCCAAGCTTTTCTTTAGTGAAGTTTATAGTCCTTGGTTTTATCCTAGGTCCATGATCCACCTTGCGTTGGTTTTTGTATATGAAGTGAGGTGTGGATCTTGCTTGAGTCTTCTGCAGATAGTTTTCCAATTTGCAAGTACCATTTGTAAAAAAGGCTGTCGTTTTCCCACTCAACTGATTTCATGTCCTTGTCAAAAATCAATTGGCCATAGGTAGATGGGCTGATTTCCAGGCTCTCAATTCTATTCCATTGATCTATGTGTCTGTCATTGTACCAGTATCATGCTGTCTTAACCACCATGACAGTGTAGTAGGATTTGAAATCGGGGAATGAGGTGCCTCCTACCTTTTTTCTACTTTTAAGGAGTGATTAGCTCATTCGGGACTTCTTTCCATTCCAAATGAAACTGGAGATTGCCTTTTCCATCTTGTTGAAGACTGGGATTGGTATTTGTATTGGGATTGCGTTGAATGTGTAAATTGTCTTTGGTAGTATTGCCATTTTCACAATATTGAGTTGTGAATCCATGAGCTAGGGATATTCTTCCACTTCTCCAGGTCTCTTTTTGTTTCTTGTAGTAATGTTTTGTAATTTTCTTTAAATAGATCCTTTGTGTTTCTGGTTAGATTTACTCCTACGTATTTAATCTTGTGATTTGATATTGTGAAAGGTATTGTTTTTCTTAGTTCAGGTTCTGTATTCTCTGTCACTGTAGAGAAATCCAACTGATTTTTGTA